AATCAATCGTTGATAAATATGTAATATTGCCATTTTACTATTCATATTTTTGATCTGTTTTTTCTTCTTCTGAATGAAGTCCCTCCAACATTTCCTATAACATTGGCTCGGCGGTGATGAGCTCCTCCAGCTTGTTCTTGCCTGGGAAGCTCTTTATCGGTCCTTTGAGTTCTAAATGATGGCTTCGCTGGGTGGAGCCATCTTGGTTGTAGGTCTTTGCTTTTCATCACTTGGACTATTTTGTGCCATCCCTTCTGGCCTGCAAAGTTTCTGTTGAGAAACCAGCTGACGGTCTTATGGGGTCTCCCTGGTAGGTAACTCACTGCTTTTCTCTTGCTGCTTTTAGGATTCTGTCTTCAACCTTTGCCGTTTTAACGACGATGTGTCTCGGTGCGGGCCTCGGTGCGTTTATCTCTGGGACTCTGTGGATTTCCCGGGCTTGTGTGTCCTTTGCCGGGTTAGGGAGGTTTTCTATCATTTTTTCAGATAGGTTTTCAATCCCTCCCTCTTCCTTCTGGCGCCCCTATGACGCGAATGTTGGTTCCCTTGAGGCCCCTTAAACGGTCCTTTTTTTGGATGCATTTTCTCGTTGCTGTTCTGATTGGGTGTTTTCTGCCACCTTCTCTTCTAAATCGCTGATGTGATCCTTTGCTTCATCTAATCTGCCGTTGATTCCACTGACGTATTCTTCATTTCAGTTGTTATCGTCTTCATTTACGTTTGGTTCTTTCTTGTTTCCTTTCTCTTTGTTAAAGTCCTCACTGATTCCATCTGCTCTTCCTCTGAGTTCACCGAGCACCCTTGTGACCAGCGTTTGGGACTCTGCATCTGGGAGGTGGCTCGTCTCCATTGTGTTTGGTGCTTTTTCTGGAGCTTTCTTCTGTTCTTTCATTTGGGACATGTTTCTTTGTCTCCCTATTTTGGCCGCCTCCCTGCGTTTCTTTCTGTGTATTAGGTGGGGCTGCTGTGTCTCCCAGTCTTGGTGAAGTAGCCTTAGGTAGTAGGTGTCCGTGGGGCCCAAGTGGTGCAGACTCCCCGGTCACTGAGCCGGGGGCCCCAGGTGTGTCCCTTGTGTGGGTGGTGTGTGCCCTCCTGTTGTAGTTGAGCTTCAATTGCTGTTTACACATCAGTGGGAGAGATTGACTGTGAGGACTGGCTGGGGACTACAGTCAAGGAACTGCTGTATAGGGGCCGACCGTACAGAGCAAGATTCATTTTAGCAGGGCTCTGGTACCTATTCACTCTGCCCTTTAGGTGTGTCATTTATTGAGGTGGTTGGTTGGTGCTCTGAAGCTGGCTTACAGATACGTTGGTTCTGAGGCCTCTTGGGAGGGGCTCTGGGGCTCTGGTGCAAGGTAAGTTCAGCTGATACTTGTTCTCTGTCCAAGGTTACTTGGTATCAGCTACAAAATGATCTGCAGATC